AGAAAAGTGAGCGATCGCGGGCGGGATGCCGGGCCGGGGGAGCCCGAACCCCTGTGTGGCGTTTCGCTCCTCCGGACAAAACGCCTTCCTCTCTTCCACAGCGATCCCTTCAATTCTGGGCCCTTGGTTTGCGTATTTCACAGAATCATCAGATTTCAGGGGTTGGAATGGACCTTACGGATCGTGTAGTCCCCAACCGCCCGACAGGGACACCTCCCCACCAGATCAGGTTGCCCAAGGCCTCATGCAGCCTGGCTTTGAACACTGCCAGGGCTGAGGCAGCCACAGCCTCCCTGGCTGACAGAGAAATAAGTAGCTGGGAGAGATTTTTCTGCTCGCGGTTCTCCCCTCCTGCTGCCTGCTGTTTGCTCGATGACCACCAGCCTGTATCGGTGCAGGGATTTGTCTTGCCTGAAATTCAGCCCCTGAGCTCCTGAAATGAATTCCTGTGGGCTTGGACTTGTCGGGCAGACTGGAACAGCTCTGTCCATTGTGTGTGGTGGGAGCAATAGGGATCACACACAGATACTGCAGAACAGCTCTGGGGATCTGCCTCCCAACTTGGAGGTGTTGGGAACAGACATCAGAGTGGTGCTTTGTCCTGCAGAGCTGTCTCCTGCCCAGGATGGGTGGTTGTCCTCCAAGGCTGCAGTGCCTGTGCAGCCGTGAACAGTGTATTTGTGGATGATTTTAAGGACCAGGATGGAGGGCTATTGATTGCTTTTTTTCTGAGGGTGGGAGGAAGTAGATTTCACTCATCTCTGGTATCATTATCCAAACAGAAAGCAGGTGTTGCAGGTGTCCCTAAGAAAGCTGTTACTTGGCTTGAGCCAGTTGCTAGTTCTTGGCCCCAGTGCTCCAAGTCACATATTTTCAAGTCCAGTAGAAATTAACTAATGTGAAAAAAACCCAGACCCAAAGTGAGAAGTGTTACAAAGTAACCTGATGTGTAGTACAAGAGGAGGTTGCATTGTCAAATGCCATAACATCTCCTTTACCTCTTGTCTCCAAATCTGTTTTTCACTCCAGTTGAAGATGTAATAAAATACCTGGACCCTCAGTACATTGACAGGATGGCTGTGCCAGATGCCATGAAGCTGCAGTTCATCTTGGCAGGTATGGCATGAAATGAGAGGAAACATGAGCTTTTCGTAGCACCGCAGAAGGTGCCTTTTACCTGAGATGGATTGGGATAGATTTCTTTTCTTCAGTTGTTCAGATGTGGCACAGCACACTCTGTAGAACTATCGGAGAGGTGGTTTGTACAAGGACATCTGTCACACCTAGTGCTCCCTTGTGCACATCCACACTGCAGTTTTATCAGTTCTGATCTTCTTGTTATTGATCATTCACTTCAACACTGAATTCATCAAAGCTTGGCAAGAAAAATGAGCTGGAATGGTTTTCCTCACCCCACTTCCAGTACTCTCTGGGCTGTGACAAAAATAGAAGTGTTTTAAACACCACTTAGCCTTGTCCTCTTTTGCCCTAAATAATTTCATTTAGCATATGGTGGTATATAGTCTGTGAATGAAACTCCATGGAATCACAGAATCACAGGATGTTAAGAGGTTGGAAGGGACCTTAAAGATCATGTAGTCCCAATCCTCTGCCATGGGCAGGGACACCTCCCACTAGACCAGGCTGCTCAAGTACTTATCCAGCCTGGTCTTCAACACTGCCAAGGATGCAGAGCCTTCCTGGGCAACCTGTTCCAGTGCCTCACTACCCTCACAGTAAAGAACAACTTACAAAGATCTAACCTAAATTTCCCCTCTTTCAATTTGTATTCATTACTCCTTGTCCTATCACTACAACTTGGTGGAGATTCTCCTGCTTTAAATTGGTGTGAATCAAGACCCAGGGATGAGCAGCACAAAAATCTAAATAAAATAATGAACAAGGCCCTTTCTGTATAGTTAGATCAGCTGGAAACATTATCACTATTTGTGAAAAGCCAGAGCATCTTCTTGTGTTTACTGATGCTGCTTTTTGTCCCTCCCAACCAGAGGAACAGGTTATTCCTTCCCGTGCTGCCCTTCTGGAGCAGGTGAAGACCCTCCAGCCCATCTTGGACAGTGCCAGTATCCAAGGTATGCATATTCTTCTACAAGTCTGAGCTGCAAATGCCACCCCACAAGCTGTGGCCTGTCCTGTTTTCTTTTAAAACTGAGCCTCATACTAGGGAAGAGGACAGCTAAGCACACAGTCGTGTGAGAGTAAACTAGGTGCAAACTCAGTGATGTGTCTGCTCCTCCCTCGTGCTGCTCTAACCTCCCTTCCAAGGTCAAGGAGGTGATAAAGTAGGTTGGGAAGCAGCATGGCAGAGAGGGTGAAGACAGGCAGGTCATTCCTGCCTGTGAGCTCTTTTACATCCATAACATCCCTGTTCCTTGCACAGGCAGAGATGCCTTTCCAATTGCCTGCCATAGCGTTCATCCAAGTAGTTTACTCTGATGTAGTTCTTGAGCAGCCCTCGCTGAGGGCAATCCCTGGCTTATGTCATCCAGGAGCAATTAGCAGATAAACCTGGTATTTAATGTAGAGGGAGTGGTCTTTATTTTGGGAACTGTTCCCATGTGCTGTGAACCAAAGAAAATGGGTTTCTCCTCTGTGCTTTCAGCTGTTCCTGACCATGCAGCCAAACTGCAGCGACTCTCACAGATCCACATACAGCAGCAGGTACTGTGAATATTCCTATCAGCAACCCCTTGCCACCCCTGTATTTGCAACTACATGAATTGCTCATTTATAGCAGTTTTTGTGAATCCCAGCATAGGCATGCTATATATTTTTAGCACTTTTTTAAGTACTTTGAGGGGGAAGAGGAGCCAAAATTTCTGACAGTTCAGTCCCAGTTGTAAAATTGCTTTGCCTACCATATCCTGCTCAAAACAGAGCTTCGTATGACACATGGTAAGTAGCAGTGGGTTTAACCACCTGGCATTCCCCCTTTCTCTAGGACACAGAGATAAAGCATTGCACTCTTCCAGGATCCTTTTCTCTGAAAGGCTGTTGATGCTTCCACCCTATCACTTCACCTTTTCCTACCCTGTTTGAGTGCTTCTGGAGTGGGCAACTGCTAGCCTGGGCAGTTTTTTGCTGTCAGTTTCCATTCTGGGGCAAGCAGAGCCTGGATGCTGAGGAGAGGCAGGCAGTAGTGCAAGTTCTGGGGCTTTGGTCCTTCCACAGCACAGATGTTTGTGATCTTTCTCTTGACTGTGGAAACCTTTCCAGCTGCAGTGAGCAGCCACAGCCAGGAGCTAATCTCAGTACTGACCTTGGATGAGTTTCCCCCTGTGCTGTCAGGGACTGGAAAGGACAGATGTCTTTCAGCTGATTTATTGCTCATTCACTGCTGCTCCCCTCTTCACAGGAAAAACGTCATGACCTCACTGACAATGTCAAGACACTCCTTGAGGACTACAACAAAATGGTATCCTTTGAACCTCGGGCCTGACACAGCTGAATTGATCCCTTGTTTCTAGGCCTGCTGCCTCCATCAAATCCTGTTGGACCCTTAGCCCTGGGTTTAGCAGCCAGTGCCCATCCTGACATGGTGACACCTGTGTCCCATACTCCTCTCAGGGGCAGAGCTGAGGGACACAACTGCCTTTCTCTAGGACAGGAAGGGCAGGGCGTGAGCTGGAGCTGCAGTGCCAGATCCACTCTCAGCATGGCTCAGCACAAAGGAGCAGCCCGGGCTGTGTGCTGGTGCAGAGCTTGCAGGGGACATCGGCATCTCTGCCAGGTGACTGCTGGTCCCTCTGACCTGCCTGAGCCAAAGAGCAGCTTACCCTGGCTGCAGAGGATCCCAGCGCTGAGGCACATTCCAAAACCAGTGGGTAGGGAAGCTCTGCTCTTTTCTGTAGAAAGCCCTGGAATTGCAGTGGTACACAGTGTTCAGAAGTGCCTCCCCATGGTATTTGGTACTGTGCAGTGGCTCAGCACCTGCATGGTTTGAGTCCATGTAGGCTGCTTTCAACAGCTTGGTGCCCTGGGCCTTTCCCTCTCCCAAGGAACTGGGAGTTTAATGGTCTTGTCAGCGTGCTCTGACCTTGGTTTCTTCCTTGCAGTTTCCTTAAGAGTCGTGTCCAGACCCTGCTTCTCTCTAAGCAGTTTGTGCAGTGGAATGAAGTACTGATGCAGCTGGAAACAGCCAAGCAAGCCAAGCCTATGACAGAGTGAAGTTCAAGCCTGGAGCAGGAGAGACGGGACCCTGTGCCACAGCTTGCATCACTGGCCTTGGCATTCCCCGCGCAGCTGAGCATGTTGGAGTGACACCACGGGCTCCCAGGGGAGCCCAGTGCTGCCCCAGACCCAAGCCACACTACTTCATATGCTAGTCTTGTACCTCCCTGAAACGTGTTTGAGTTTCTAATGTATTTTGAAATCCCTTTCTGCAGTTACTGTGGATCGTAATTAAATCCTGAATTGCTTACAGGGTTGTCTTTCTCTGCCTGGGTGTGAGGAGTGGTCCTGGCACAGTGTGGTTTTGTCCAGGCAGGGATCTGCTCCTGGCAGCCTGCAGGAAACAGTGGTTTCTTCCAGCCTTGGGTCAAGGGCAGGTAAATCCCTTCCAGTCCCACAGCCTTCCATAGACTGTGGCACGTGCTCCTCCGGTTTGTGTGAGGTGCCTGTGCCCAGGGGAATCTG